TGTATAGAATTTGAAAAATATAGAAATATTAAATGCAATTGTATGTGAGTCTTTTTATTCGATCTGTAATCTATAAATGAATCCCACTCAGTTTTTGTGATTGACAATGGGGGATTACTAATATTTTCTTCATGACTTTTGGTCGAATCATGATACTTATCGAACAATCTTTTTCTATTTTCCTTCCACTTCTTATAATATCCTTAATTATATATGCATATGCAACAGCTTCGTGGATGGGTTCCCACCATAATTTTGCCTTAACAAATAAATTCAATAACATAAAATACATTGTTATTATGCTAACAATTATGTAAAATATGTAATTAGTAAAGAAATTACTAAAACATATACCTTTATTATCTACCCAAACTTTATCCTTAAAAGATGTTTTGGGAACTTTACGCTTACTTTTAAAACTAATAGGAAGGAATTTATGGTCTGCCCGTAACCGACCCAGAAATATCCCTAATCGGCCATCAACATCTATACCACATAGGGTATGTTCATCAAAAGGAATAATAACCCTTTCTGTAGTTGGTAGCAACCAAAGATCGCTAATCGTTAAATGAGCTTTTCTCATCTTTCCTTTATCATCTGAACAAAAATAAAGTTAATCACTGTAAGTTCAGTTTAAGAAATGAGTATGATAAAGTAATAGAATAGTGAATAACAAAATTATTTGTGTTTACTAATAATCTTTTTAAAATATATATAAATACTTATTTTAATTTATTTATTTTTTAAAAAAAGATAATGTAAAAATAAAGAGTAAAAGATGTACCTGGTAATATAGTCAACTATAGCATTGTCAACAAACACAATGCATTGCTCACTATAGAGCTAAAGCTAATCAGTATTGACACACTTCACAAAATAAAGAGAAAATAACAAATCAAATGGACAATAAAGAAAATACTATATTTTCGATTCAATAGAAAAACAAAATAACAAGCTGATACTTGGGGTTATATCCTGTGTAATAGAGCAATTAATAAATCAGATATTTACCATACTAGGTTTATATTTACAACATTAGGTGTTGTAAATATAATTTTTATATGCTTAACCTGTTCATCTAATTTTTATATGGTTAAGCTTGAAAGTTCGAAATGGCCTTGAAGGCCGATGCATGCGAGAGGGAAAAACAAAAATTTTCTTTGCAGAATATACATGCACATCAAGATCATGCTTTAGGAAAGCATGATGTTACCTTGTTCGTGAAATCACCAGATGATCAAGGTCGGTCTGAAGGGTTCAGACCCTCTAACGTTGATCCACACCACCCACTCGTCTAGGTGCAAGAACTCCTTCTTGTGAAGCCACCGGATGATCACCACAAAGAGGCTTGCTAGGCGCTCTATGTGTGAAGGTGGAGGCTAGGTGAAAGTGTTTGAAAAAGTGAAGCTCTCAATGTGAAAGTTTCACAAGTGGCGCAGGAGAAAGGAGAGAATAGGCTAGGTTTTTAGAAAAACCCTTGGAGGAACAACTGATCACATAGGCGCATAAGAGGAAAGTATTTAAAATAAAATACCAATCAGATTTTTCTCCTAAAAATCTGATCATTAGGCGCCAGATTGGAGAGAGAGAAGTGGAGCTGTTTTATTTCAAAAATTGCTAACAGCCTCCTAGAATATTCTCTTGAGAATTGGTTCAAAACCTATTCAAAATTCTGATCAGAAATCTTCATAAGATCAGCTATATGGTGCGCCCCATATAGCCCAAAAAGGTGACCAGATACATCTGAGTAGTTGCATTCAAATTTGAATCAACTCACTTAGATTTTCTCCCAACTGACTGAATCTTCTGGAGCTGATTTTGATGAGCAAATCTTGCTCACCAACAACCAAATCAGCGCCATATATGGCCTTGGATCTTGTCCAAAAGATTCTCTCATGATACTAGTGATTTGTTCCAACAAGATCTCATCTTATCCTTTTGTTATGAAACAACCTTTCATAGGCAATTCAAATTCAAATTCAAATATTTGAATTCAAACATTCAAATATTCAAATTCAAATTTCAAATTTTCAAATTTCAAAATTCAAATTTCAAAATTCGAATTCAAAATCCAAATTTCAAAATTCAAATTCAAATTTCAAATTTCAAATTCAAAATTCGAATTTCGAAATTCAAATTCAAAATTCAAAATTTCAAAATTCAACTTTCAAATTCCAAAATTCAAAATTTAAATGTTTGATAATTAATTTAACTAATTAAATTAATTAGTAATGTCTTGGACTATCCAAGCCTATTACAATGAACCACGCGCCCTCCACCCCTTTAGGTGGAGTTCCAAACAACTTCTTGGGCTAATAACTATTATTAGGCCCAATACCTTTAATGCTAGAGCATCTAGACAATTAGGTGTTTGTGTGTGACCCATTAGGTCCAACTTAGCCACTGACATAAATGGGCTTGGGCCCAATAAGCCCACAACCCATCTAATGACAACACAGAGCACTAGCAATGCTTTGTTGCCCCAGAACTAGTTAGATTAATGATTTGATCATCCTATTAAACATATTTGGTTGCCGTATATATTTCCTTTCGTCTCGGTTACCTTCCCATAAAACCTAGGGTAAGGAAGCGTATCAACCCCTGCGGTTTAGGGTAAGCTTTATTCGAAATAGGGAATCTTCAATTTACAGACTCTAAAGGCAGATCATCTCATGATCTCTTTTACTATGCATAGATTCTCGAGTCCCTGTAAATGTCATCCCGATTTCTCCGGTTTACAGATAACCTAATCTCTCACAGAGATTTGACGAATTCCTTCAGCTTATCACCCTAGCCCTGTGTTCTTTCTGGACAAGCCCAACAGTATACCTATGAGTCTCCATGTTTCAAGCAGACGAGGTGCACAATCAAAGCATGCCTTCTAGAACACAGTCTAGGTAATAACTTCTGGTCTTAGGAAAGACATACCCAAATATAAAGAGACTACTCTAATGATACTCTCTGTGAGAGTTCCTCATAGAGTCTCTTTGTGGGTCCGTTCAGTGCGAGCTATACCCTTATAGGTCCACCCACGACTTTAGCTAAGACATCTCCATATCTGTAGCACATGAGGTCTATACCTTGTATCCATATACAAATAGATAAGTCGTGCTAGTCTTACCCGAGATTACTGACCTCATTCTCAGTATCTCTAGACTAGGAACATAAAATTAGGAATAAACATCTGGTATTCTTGAATCCTCATGATTGTGATCTCATCACAGATACTCAAGAGATACCTATTTTATTCCACGGGGTTTATCAAGTTATTCATAATATATTAATATTAATATCGAGACATAATTATGAAACAAGATAAAGAGTGTTTTTATTTATTTGCGACAATATTAAAAAGGTCTACATCTATGTCCTTATTTAATCATAAGATTGTCTCTAGGACACCCAAATACTAACAAAGCTTGGCTTGATGATTTTAAAATGCCCACCTTGAGTTAGTGGTGTTGGTCGATTGGAACTAACACAAGTTATTTAATAACTATTAGCTTTTTCACTAATAGTTACTACTTGTATTTCATTTTTCAAGTGCACCATGCAGTCTATAACCTTGGAACCTTTGTAATAGGTATTTTTACTGGTTTGCTCGCTTTTAAAAATTAGCAGTGTTTGTTCTCAGCAAGGGACTAACACATTTAGAACTATTTCAGGTATACAGCAGAAAACTCAGTGAAATTCGGGGCTCCTCGGGATACTGATCACCCTGAACTCAGACAACCACTAGCTATGGAAGTTTGGGAGTCTATATTGCAAACAACTAAACTAGGGTCTAAGATTACAGTATTAACCAATGAACCCTTGACTAATTTGGCAAAGGTTGTAGCGGTGAAAAACATAAGCTCTAGAATTCAAGTTATAGTATATATTTGTTATCATCTTTTTGAAATAGTTGTGTATCTACAAGAGCAATAAGTTACTATGCAGGTGGACTTGAGAGAAATCCCAGAAATTTTTTTGAGTCATTTTGATAAAAGTTAACTTTTTGCCAAAAGGAAACACTAAATTGAATATTCAAACTTAATTCTGAATTTAACATTACAGTTCTGATGATTATTATAATATGCATACTGATGAGATTGAATAATAATTCCAAAATGTTGCAATAGGTTTATGTAGTGGGGGGACACATAAGCAGGAATGCCAATGACAAAGGAAATGTCTTTTCAGTTCCTTCCAATCAATACACAGAATTCAATATATTCCTGGATCCCTTAGCAGCCAAGACAATGTTTGAATCAAAAGTTAACATCACACTTATTCCACTCAGTACCCAGCGCAGGGTCAGTTTATTTTCAACTATCATAGGCTGGTTGAATGGGACACCAAAGACACCCGAGGCTGTGTTTTCCAAGCATATTTTGTCTAGACTATACTATTTGAAGCAAATCCACAACAGATATCAGCATATTATTACTTGATTTTTAGTTAGATGAATCTATACTTCTATGTTACTGTATGCACAAGTATAATAACTGGTGTGTATATGCAAACAAGTAACTTATGCAAGAACACAGCAAACATCTCACATGCCTACATGACCCACTTTTCTGACATGTGTCTCATTATGGTTACCTCACAATGTGAATCGGGAAGCCTTCCTCTCATATAATAGTTGGCTGTTAGGATACGAAGATCCAGTAGGATTAGGAAACCTTCTTCGGTGCTCACTGACTTTGTAACTTGATGAATGTTTTCCTTCTGGTATCAGTAAGTGGGTATAGGGTGGTTAAGTAGTGATATCACACGTGTACTCTCTTGCAAGTGATCTTAGGTGGTTAGTTAGTTATACCACATGTGTACATGAAAGGGTCGATTGGATTAGTGTTGAGGGGTATATAACATTTGTAATAAACGATTGAAGCATTCATTCAATATCAATACACAGGAATTCTGTTTCTTCCTTTCTCTTTCGTTTTCTGTTCTGTTCCTTAGGTTTCTGAAACCTAACATTGGTGCTTTCATTTCATTCTCCAATTCTTGCTTCCATGACGAAGGTTCAAGAACTATCGGAGGAGTTGCATTCTTTTCAGCAACGAGTGGACACAAATCTGGAAGAGCTTCGCATGCAAGCCACGGTGCAAGCTAATGACACCAGAAACCAGATTTCTATACTAGTTTTACATATGCAACAATTACAGGAAACTATTATGGCTAATCAACTGCAGAGGCAGGGTAATTCCAATACTTATTCTTCTTCTGTTCCGCACAATTCCTATCGACCAGAAACCATGGATCATCGTTCTTTGCTTAAGGGTGTTCGCATGGAGATTCCAGTGTTCAATGGCACTGATCCTAATAATTGGATTTTCAAAGCTGAGCTTTTCTTCACTTTACAGTTGATTCCGGATGAAACAAAGGTTGCTTTGGCTGGGTTGAAAATGGAGGGCATGGCTGCCTCTTGGTTTCAATGGACCTTCAACACGGGTAAGGCTCGGGCTTGGCCTGATTTTACTGCTGCTCTTCGCCAACGCTTTGGCATTTCGGGTTTTACAAATCTGAAAGGTGCTTTGTCCAAGTTGACTCAAACATCTTCTCTTCGTTTTTACATTCAACAGTTTGAAGCATTAGTTAACCAAATACCTGAATTATATGATGATCTTCTCATGAACTTTTTTGTTTCGGGTCTTCAATCTGAATTACGTAGTGTTGTTCAGTTGAGGGAACCTCTGTCCTTATATCAAGCCATTCAATTGGCCATGGCTTATAATGATCATTTTGGGGATTTGAAAACTTCTTTCCAAGGTGCATCTAAGAAGTTCTTTTCCAAATATGTTCCTGCTTTAGACAGTAATCCTGTGTTACCTAATACATCTCCAAGTTCTAATGTACCTCGACCAATGAGTAGTACCACACATAGATTGTCCTTGCTAGCTCCTAATCCAATGAAGAGGGTTATGAATGCTGATTTACATAAGAGGAGAGAGTTGGGTCTTTGTTATACATGTGATGACAAATGGAGTTCTAAGCACATCTGTCCAAACAAAAATAAGTTGATGCTTTTGGTGGGAGAGGAGGATGTGGTTGATCAGGACTTGGATGAGGAACATATCGTTTGGCAAGCTAAAAAGTCTATTGGTGAAGCAACAGATGCTTCTCTTCATGCATTGAGGGACAATAATCATTACCGTGCCTTAATGTTTACTTCTGCATTGGCAGGTATGGATTTCTCCATCTTAGTTGATTCAGGTAGCACCCATAATTTCATACAACACCATCTAGCTGTAAAATTGTCTTTACCAATGATAAATTCCCATAGAATTCGTGTATTTTTTGGAAATGGTGATGTTATGTACTCTGAAAAAAGGTGTCTAAAGGTACCTTTGTTGATTCAAGGGCACAAGTTTGTGTGTAATCTCTGGGTTTTGGATCTTTCTGACATCAACATCATTTTGGGTATGCCTTGGTTGGAACAGTTAGGGAAGGTTACTCATTACTATATCAGTAAGTCAATGGAATTTGTTTGGGATGGAAAATCAATTTTGTTACAAGGTATTAATGCAGTGGTTGTTTCTTCTAGTTTGAATACATTTCTTACTCAGGAATGGGCAAGTTGTAATGTTCTGCCTGCAGACACTGCTTCTTCTCTAGAGGCTGCAATTATTCCTGAGTTGTTAGCTCTGCAAGCTGAAATCCATCCCCTTATCTGGTCCATTTTATTGAAGTTTCAGCAGGTGTTCTCATTACCTAGTGGTTTGCCACCATTCAGAGGGTTAGATCATTCGATTCATTTAGAAGCAGGTACTGTAACACCCTGTATATATCAGGTAATGTTATCATACTATCGTATTAAGCTGCGCTTAATTAAAAATGCGGAATATCTTTTTCTTTCCAATTATGATGTCATTATCATTACCAACTTGCTTATTAATCAATTAATAAAACATTGCCTGTATGTAATTGCAATAAAACAGCTAACTGAAATACCTCATAACATAGATAATATAAGTGTGTCTCTAGAAATCACGGAACTACCACAAGTAGGCCGGACCAACTAGCAGGTTATACAACTCCAATCTAAAAGTACTAACAGAAAGTGTCATGGACAATCCACATGCTCACTCAAATAAGGCAACAAGCCTAACATCAGTCTCAACAACAACATAATCATAAATAGCGAAAAACATAAATAACATCCAAATCCAGTCATGCCAGCATATAAACAGTAATCATCCTCAACTAAGCTCTGGCCTCTCGCCGCCAGAGACATCAGCCCCTAAATTACCTGAACCTGAAATAAGCATTCCCCAAACGTAGGGTGAGATCTCTAAACAAGAAATCTCAGTAAGGCAAGGGTTCCTCAAGGATCTTCCACCCCAAGCTCACTTACATGTGCAATATAAGTTTAAAATCAGTTCATCAATATCATTTCTAAAACAGTGCGATGCAGCAGATAATCATGTCATGTGTGTCAATTCTATTCTACTGGCCAGAGAAATGCAGGATTTACATACGCCAAATACCCACACTAGTGCAAGACGCTACTTGCATCCACCCCGGATCACCGTCTTGTATGGCGCTACATACTCAGGTTTACCGTCAAGATGGAACAACACATGCATATTAAAAGCCATTACACATAAAGCTCAACAGCATTTCAAATATTCAAAGCATGTAACACAGCATGCATACAACCATACCCCCATGGGACATGGTGGAACCACAACATGGCTAAACCGAGGACACGAAAGCTTACCTTGTAAGCTAGCTATCCAAACCAAGAGTCCACACAGCTCAAGGCCCACAAACAGCACAATTACAATCTGCCCATACCATAATTACTCATCAATAATCATAGCTCAGATTACATTAAGTGATTAAGTCTTTCCTACCCATTTTAACTCATTACATGCTGTTTCTGCATGAAGTATTCGAATACTTCACGAGTAGTATTCGAATACTCCAGCTCTCCAGAAAGTATTCGATTACTTTCATTAAAGTATTCGAATACTACCAAGTATCCGAATACTTATCCTTACTGTATTCGAATACTCTCCAGTATTTGAATACTTCTTCAAAGGTATCTGAATACTTTTCTTCCCAGAAAAGTATTCCAATACTCCTACCATGAGTATTCGACTACCAGATAAAGTAAATTAAAAATTCTCTTACTCCCAAAGTTACCAAGAAATCCCTCTTCTATTCCAATAAAAAGAAAGGAAGAAAAAGAAAGAAACACCCATGTGGACAGTTGGTCCGTGTGGAAACCATGCGGGCATGTGCCTTATACAATTGACAATGTTGAAATACAAGAACAAATAACGTAGTTTTGCATGTATCATTAGCTCTCTGAGCACGAATATTGACATTCATATGGTGCGAATAAAACATTTGGTACTATAAAGTGAAGAACATTTGGATCCATTCACCAAGTTATTGTATTTCATATAATAATATAAAACATATATATACTAAGGCTTCTCTCTTAACTTATATAATGAAAATAAAAAAGTAAATCAAAAGAGAAAAAAACGGGGTAAATGTGTTAGGTACGTAAGATCTGAAATATTGAAACATAATTTGCAAAATTGATCCAAGTGTTATATATGGATACACGAACTAAGAAACAAACAGGAAACATCATAAATCAAGCTGAGATTTACATAGACCTATATGAAGGGCAAACTAATATCACTTCATGTATAATTGTATATCGAATGAAACAACTATTATTTTCATAATAAAGGCTATTAATACCCACGTTATGAACTCATGGAGCATGTAACTTGTATACAAAGTAAGACAACTAGTAAAATCCATTCATGATGAAGATTGTGATGAAAATAAAATATAGCTCTAAAACTAGCGATTGATTCCAACCTTTCTGGTTTAATGGTTATGTGGGTAATGCTCTACTTCTTTTGCCCCTACCCTGCCCTTCTACTTCCTACAATAAGCTTGCCATTATGCCCTCAATTTACCAAGTAAAACAGGAAAAACAATCAAACTTAAAAGCACTATTAGCCCTGCAAAAATAATAATGGAACCAATTCAAAATCAAGATCATAACCAAATCAGAAAACTCAAATATGCATGCATATTTTTGCTGAAATGGGCGGGATGGAACTAGAAGGAAGGGGAACACCCAACGGGGTGATCCACTAGGCCATGACCTTGCATATAAGCTAATTATTCTCATGAATGCTTCATTCCATGAGTATTATTTGTCAGAATTGCACAATAATAGTTGATACCAACAAATGCAATAGTACCATATTTTAAAGAATAACACAAAAATAGCTTTGAAAGAGGCCAAAAAAATAAATGGAAGACTATGACCTTGCTGAATGTAAAAAATTGATACTCATAAACTGGATATTATTGTTTCAATATATGATATATGCTAATTCTAACATACCTTGATGATCTAATCATGCTCATACATAATATTAAAGCAATTAGATCAAATGCATTAAAATTAAGTTATAAATACCTTTTGCCATTGCTTTTCGAAAATGGGTTGAAGTAGTCCATGAGTCTTTATGAGTCTTCCAAGCTCTAGCTTTCAAGAACATATAGTGTATAGTAATAATTCAAGAGTAAATTTAGGGGCTTTAAAGTTTGAAGCCACACCTTATGTAGACCCTTGCCATCAGGGTGTAAGTCAATAGTGGTGTGCACTAAATGTGGGCTGTTTGGATTCATTTTTTTTACCATTATGCGTGAGTGTGGCTTAAAAAAATGGAGATGGATGGGTATTGTTGTTGAAAATTTGTGGACTACATCCTTGACTTATTCCTCGGTTTGTTACTGAAAATAAAGGTACGAACATTCTCCCACTCAGTCCACATATTCTATCATATACTAGAGTGAGAAACAAAATACATGAATCATAACGATATGTCTTGTAATATATATATGAGTATTATCTTCTATATATTACACTGCATTATATTTCTCAAGTCCATATAACTTAATGAATAAACAAATGTGAATGTGCATAAACTAAATGAAAAACATCACAAGTAGAGTTTCATGAAAATAATATCATTCTTACAATGAAAATAGCATAAGGGAACCAAGTCTCATCCTTTCTACATGATCCTTAAATTTAATGGTTAAAGGATCACCATTCATTAATCCAGTGCTAATGTGCTCAAAACCACTGTTTTATCTTTAACATGTTCTCTTATTGCTTATTCTTAGCCAAAAATATAGCAACTGAATTATCACAATATATCCTTAATGGCATAGAAATAGAATGCATAACTCTAAGCCCAAAAATGAAACTTCTTATCCATACACCATATGAGGTAGCCTTAAAACAAGAAACAAACTCAACCTTTGTAGTGGAAGTAGCAATCAAATTTTGCTTGACAATTCTCCAAAACATGGCTCCACTGGCTAGTATAAAAATATATTTTCAAGTTAATTTTCATTAATAAATGCAACTAACGTAGTTTTAATCTAAGTAGCCAGTCACTTCTAAGCAATCCGTCTATACATCATATTTTCCTTTGTCCCTCAAAGTTATCTCATCATTTTTTTAGCAATTTTCCAGTGGTCTAAACCTAGATTACTTTTTTGATTGCAAAAGTAATATCAGGTCTTGTGCAGATCTAAGCATACATAAGGCTTGCAACAATTGAATAATGGGGAATGTTCTTCATTTGTTCCCTCTCAATATCATTTTTTGGACATTAGCTTAAATCAAACATGTCACCCTTCACAATGGGGGCTACACTTAGTAAACAACATTCATCCTAAATCTTTCCAAAACTTTATTGATATAGGTCTCTTCAGACAAACCAAGAACACCTCTTATTATGTCTCTATGTATCTTGATGCCAATAATGTAAGAGGCATAATCCATATCCTTCATGTAAAAGTTTTTAGAGAGAAATTGTTTCACTTCACATAGAAAACCTTTATCATTGGTTGCAAGGAAAATATCATCCACATATATAATAAGGAAGCAAATTTTTCTCCCACTGACCTTCTAGTATATAATTGATCTATGGAATTTTCTACAAAACCAAATGAAAATATAACATCGTGAAATTTTTTATACCATTAATGAGAGGCTTGTTTCAATTCATATATAAATTTCTTCGGCTTGCACACCAATTGCTCACCATAGGTAGAGGAAAATCCTTCTAGTTGTTTCATATAAACTTCTTCCTCTAGATCTTCATTGGGGAAAGTCTTCTTCAAAACACGATGCACCAATGGAAGAATAACATGTGTAAAGGTGTAGCCATCAAATCAAATGCATGGAAACCAAGAGTCACAACACGTGGATGACCTGAGCCAGTCAGCACTGAGAGGTAGACTGCTCAAATTCCACAAGAGCACAACATGGCACCCCCAATCAAACAAATCCAGACCTCTTCCAAAAGATGCAACCTAGCTACGACCCTTCATTAGCATAACCCCAAGCGAGCCAGTCAGTCACTGCAAGGTTTAGTAACGCGGTGAACTTCCTAACCTACAAAGGAAAGCTAGGTTTCAACCACGAGATACATTGCGTAAGGCGGCCTAAAGCCACTAGCCCATCATCGACAAATAGGACCTCAAGCATAAAGGAACTGAACTTAATTGGGGTACACAAGGCAACATTACATATCAATAATTCAAAATTTCAGACTGCTGGAATGAGGGAAACTGTTTTGGACCCATCTTATGGACCTATAGTTCTCAACAAGTGACAAATTGAAGGGATACGGATAAGTACATTATCATTTCACCAAGGGATATAGGATAAGTCATTTATCCCTTCTTCCTAATAGTCTCACTTCTATCAAGACTCTACATCCACAAGTAACTAATATATAAATAAGGGTTTAAGATTGCCTAATAGACACTTTGTGCTTTCTACCTCTTTAATTGTCACTATGCACACACTAAACGCTATGGCTATATTGTTACTACTTATGCACAATGATCTGCTAACTTTTACGGTATCTCTTTCATAGACTCCCGCGAGCGTACTGGTCCTAAATACAAATACCAACCACCTGTTAGATATTCCCGATCTCCCGGATTGATCAAGTGTAAACATTTTTGTTTATAACATCATTCAATGATCCATACAATAAATTTGTCATCTTATGTGTTGTTAAGCTTATCGAATATAACAACTTATTTTGAATGATATTTTAAATTTATTTTACACTAACTATACGTCAAAATTAAGCCGTTACACTTTTCTTTTTTGGTAAAGAAGCTATTTTGTTTAATTATACTTAAGTTTTGCATTTTTTTATCTGGAGTGGTTTCTTAAAATATTGAAAAAATCATATATAAGGGAATAGTGTTACAATAATTATCTAAGAATTTTTTATTTATAAAAGAAATAAGAAGCATCCATCATCCATATTTTAATAATTTATTAATTCATCACATGATTTTATTATAATATATCTCTCATTTATTATTTTAATGTATATAATTTTATTTCATTTTAATGGCCAAAGAATTAAACTTAATAATTAATTTGAAAACAATGTATCAAAAAATATAATTAATTTAAAAACAAACAAAGATTAAATATTATTAAAAACAAAGATAAAAGTTATTTTAAGGTTAAGTTGTCCTTAAATTGAGTGAATAAGAAGGGAAAAATTATATTTATAATTTTTTTTTATAAATTCTTAAACTATACTATGTGTTAGAGGTAGAACATTTCAGCACACAGTACTACCCTTAATATATAGTATAATTTATAAGAGTTTGTAAATATAACATTCTTCGAATAAGAATATATAAATTATTATACTATTTGAAAGAGACCAATAATTATTAGGAAAATATAAGAATAACGTTGTATCATGAGAAACTTGTCCCGTAACATTATTATGACTATGTATTTCAGGAGTATAAAGTTGTAACATTAATTTTTTTTCTTTTTTTCTCTTCAATCACTTTCCAGAACTTGCCAGCTAACATGAAGAGAAAGAAAAAATAATTTTAATATTATATTATGTATTACATAGTTATAAAAGGATTGCAGGACCAATTTCTTATCTTATAACATGAAAAATGCAAAATCATTATTATTATTAGGGTAAAGTATTTCTTCGGCCATTGGAGATAAATTATCTTCAATGACTCCAAAACTATACATCGTTTTGAATTAATGAAAGATGTTTCTGTAATATTATTTATTTTTTTATCATATGAATTTTACGAAAAACCTTCATTAATTTTCCCAAAATTACAAAAACATTCTTCGTTAATATAAAACGACATAATTTTGAGATAATTGAAGATAACTTATATCCAGTAACTGTAAAAATACTTTACCCTTATTATTACTATTATTATTATTAAATAATTGTCCTATTTCCAGAATTTTCCATACATTGTTTTTTTGGTTACCTGGGGGTTACGAATAGGCCTACAATTCCAAATTGAACCCTAGCTTCCGCCATTGCCGCCATCTTTTCTTTGTCTTCTCGAGGACAATACGAGGTTGTTGTTGCAGAAGATCACTCTTCTTTGGGTCGCATAACCCTAAAATTTCTGATTCAGATAGAAGAAAAATTCTAGCTTTTGGATTTCAAGGGGTTCATTTTGTTTATTCTCAAGCTATGGTAAGCTTCAGATGTGTTTTTATTCGTTTTTCTTATCAATTTTGTTGTCTGACTCTCAAGGGAAATGGAGAAATGAAGAAATATGTTTATTTTTTGTTGTTTAGCTTCTGCGCATATAAAGAATATTAGAAATTATTCCTTTTGATTTTCTCTTTTTTCTCTTGAGATTTAGTTGTGGAATTTTGAATTTGGTTCTTTACATGTATGCAGATTTTAAGAGTGTGTTTCTATTGTATTGTTTGGCCAACCTAGATTGATTCTGGAGGAAGAAGTTGTTACTGGGATTTTTTTTTTTTTTTTCAATTGACTGTTATGTGATTTTATAATACCCAGAGGTTTAGCTTGTACTTATTTGCATTATAGCCCTGAGCATGCAATTTGTGCCAAATTATGTTATGGTTGCTAGTTGGGTATGGCTTAGTTTGTTTGGGGTGTCATAGGTTTGAAACATTGTAATAGCTTTTTGAGGTGTGTACTAAAAGGAAAATAAATAATGAAAGAGCAGAGTATTGATTGAGGAGGTGGTCTTAGAAGTGTTTAGAATCTGTTATTTGTAAACGGTCTTTGTACAATAAATTTTATGGAATTTCTTTGTTCCTTACCAAAACTTTAACTGAATTGTTTGTGCAGGCTTCAAAGATTCTGGCAAACTTGATTGTGATGGGCGGGGGAATCTTGGCAAGAGCAGTTGTTCAGGCATATCGTCAAGCGCTTGCTAGTAAGCTTTCCAAATTTATTTCTGTGGATAGATTTACGATTTATGTGTCAAAATATAATTGTTTTGGTGATTTCTATTAATTTATGTGATTTCTAGATGTTTGGTTTAACTATTGTTTGTTTCCTTGATTCCTTGACCATATGCAAATGTTGCTTAAATTATTTTCCAGCACCAAACCATTTATATTCAGTTGTCTAAGGGAAATGGAGAAACGAGGAAATATATGTATTCTTTGTTGTTTGACTTCTTTGGTGTCTAAAATAATTAAGTTAACAATACGAGAAAGTACAATATTGTACACAGAGGATGTAAGTTGTCCTCTGGGCATGATGAATTGAAGCTAGACTTAATATCAAGGTTGTCAAACTCGAGAGTCTACGCAAACTCGGAAGGGTGAACCAAAATCGTAAATCGCAGAATCGTAACAACGGGATACATATTATATTTATATATATTTATATGCATATAAAGTAATATATTAAGCAAATTTAATTCAGCCAACCAGCAAAATAATGTCATACAATAGTCATAATCAAGAAAAGGAGTACTATTAATACCACTTGAAGACATTTTCTAAAAAAATACAACATTCAAATTCACAAAAAAATTAACCACAATTTAATTGGTCCAGCAGCAAGCAATATTGAGAAAGCATGACTAATTTGATTTTTCAATGTGGACTAATTTGATTTTTCAAGTAAATTAAAAAGGATATACAAAAAAGAAAAGAAAAGGAAACAGAGGCAAAAACAAGAAAAGAAAAGAAAAAACTAATTTTGTTTATCAAATAAAAAAAATTTGGTTAAGTAATAAATAACAGAGGCAGAAGCTGAAAGTAAAACGAGAGAAAACAAAAAAAATATCGACAAAGCCTGCTTTGGTAAACAGACGCATAAACGAAGCGCAAAACAGAGGCTGTGACGCAGCTCATAAGAGATTGAGCAAGAACACCACCCTGCGTCGGTGAAGGCACAACGGTGAATCCTAGGAACGGAGAACAAAGACGAAGCTGCGGACAGAGCACGTGGAGAATGCACGCCTGCACACAGACCGGAGTCAGAGATGACGGTGGAGCACAGTCAAGCCCAATGGTGGAGTCGTCTCTCACTGAGCAGGAACGGTGGCGGCTTCCTTCAGGTATTTAGGGTTTTTTGCATTGAAAAATCCCGTTTATTTGATGGATTTCGAGTCAAAAAATCTGGGTCCATGGGTCAGAACGTTTTTGGTGGAATCGTTTTACTCGTACGAGCTTACGAGTTTGCCAAAAAACACGGCGTCTCTAACAAGTCAATGCCAAAAACGAGTTTATGGTGAATCGGAATCGTTGAGGGTGTTTAGAAGCGTAAACTCATACAAGTTTACTCGCGAGTTTGACAACCATGCTTAATATCCTTAATTATCAACACCCCTCCTCAATTTGGAGCATAGATGTTAATCATACCCAACTTGTTACAAAGATACTCGATATTCCAAACACTTTCATAGAATTGCAAGCAGTGAAACTGTAAAAGGAAGAAAAGTGTGATTAAAAGTTAGAGTGGAAGATGGCTTGGCTAGAGATCCTAGTTTCATTTAAGATATAGTTACTAGATTCTACAAGGAGCTTTGTTTATAGGTGATTTCTAATAGACTTTTCATTTGGAGTTTGGATTGTAAGAAACCATCACTTGATTATTTAGAAGTTTGTTGCAAGTCCAAAAAGGATGGGGTGTTGGGTCATGGTAACTTGTTGAAGAGCATTGCTCTATTGGGTTAAATGATCATGGTGATTTCCTTTCAAAACACATTCTGTGGCACAAGGTAATTAACAGTATTTATGATGCTCACCAGAATTGTTGGATGAAAAAACCACCATTAATGGTACTCATGCAGTCATGCAAGTCCCTGGAAATTCATCTCTTAGTTATATCCTTTTTCTCTTTGCTTACTACATTATAGAGGTATGGTCTTGTACATTTTGGGAGAACCATTACATTGATTTGGTCTTATCTGATTCTTCTCTACCTTTTTATGAACTTTCCAATTTGCATCAGAACCTTGTTTTTTTATTTTACACTCTCCAGGGTTCAGATGCTTTATAAAATTTCCATTTTAGGGCGTTTTTGCATAACACTCATTTTAATGAAACCTCAATAACAGAGGCTGCTGACCTAGTTATGTTACTGAGTAATTCTTTTGTTTTCTGTTTGGCCAGATAGAAGGATTGTGGCCTTTTAGATATAAAACCTTTAACGAGCCTTTACCTAAAAGCTTAAGCTTTTGAGAGTAAACCTGTTTTATGAGCCTTAACCTAAAATCTTAAGCTTTTAGGAGATTTGAGCATGTGACTGATCTGTTTCTTATATCTGCAAATTATATTTACATTCTGTAACTCATAGTCAAACTACTTAAATTTATTAGATATCTAAGACTTTGTGGAAGATTAAGGCTCCTTCCTTGTTACTGAATTGATCATAAGACCAATTCCCTTTTTATGTATGACTATTAAGTACACCCATAATTCTGATCGTCATGTTAGATTGAATAAAGTGACAGTTTCTCATCTGAAATCTGTATAATAAGATTTGATAATTTCACACATGATAGTATACTTGACCTTTTGATTCTTTAAGAAGTTTACTTAAGGTTAAAACTTTTATTTGAATTGTGGCACTTAATAGAATTAATAAAAGTGGTATTTTGGACTCAAGCCCTGCATGACTATTTCTCTTGATGTTTGTGTTTATTGAAGCTCAGAGAGTATTAATCATCTCTTTTGTATTGTTAAGTTGCTTGCAAGCTTTGGAATCAGTATAGCATTTTTGTTTGAAGGAGTGTAAAGCCCTTTGGCTTTGTGCTTTGGTGGTAGGGATTTGGTACTTGTGGATGGAACAAAATGACAGAATATTCAACCAGACGTATCTTCTTTTCTCATTTTTTATTTGACAGTTTGGGTTATAGCCCATTTTTACGGATGTCCAAATTGGAGAGCGATAGTTTCAACCAAGTAACAAAAGGGAAAATAAGAAAGAAACACTACAAAAGCTGGAAATTCTGTATTAATATAATAAAGATCTTTACACCGGAATTGAAAATGACTGAAGCGAAATGCAGTAGAAGGAAACGATAAAAGAAAAGGAAACAAAATACCTGGAGTGTCTCTGGTCTCTCTCGAGGAATAACCAATTACTCAATACTAATCATCCCCCAAAACAATGTCCGACCTACTCTAAGTAGGTAAAACAATGCCCAAAACAAATAACAGAGGAGATCCTCCCTGATTCTCCACTTTCTCTCACACAAGCACATCAGCATGGGACAAGTAACCAATTTTAGCACTCTGAATTGGCTATGATCCAGAATGATGCCTCCTTTGATAAACCTTCCGAGGAACTACCTTTCAATCAGAGAGATCTTTTCCTTTCTCCTTCTTCTTCTTGGTTTTGCTTTATTTTTACCTCTAGGAGGATTTCTTATCCTCCTCCTTTGCACTTCTCTGAATCATTCTTCTTTTATACAAAATATCAACCGAACCTTATTTTGACTTGATGGAATCAGCTACATGGATTCTAGTAAGCCACTGTGCTTGATTCTGTATCATAGATTCATGATGCTACATTTACCCTGAACTCTCTTTAATATTCTCCTACCATTTCTCTTTTGCATCTCCCCCTACCTGGCTTTAAAGGATGAAACCGCAATAGTTTATAATTTCACATCTTATTGGGGCTTGTGTGTTGTTGCATGTTCGTTTGAATATCTGCTATACTCCCTTATGATGCAAAAGTCTTTTAGGGATTTTATTCTAGGGGTCTTTATAATCTATAGATAATGTGTGAACTGTGAACATCTTGCCTTCTACTGTGGCAACACTCTATGATCATTCCCAGCAGATGGATCAACTTATAGTATATTCTAGGCAGCATCCAAACTGCTTTCTGATAAACTAGTCTCCTTCCTTAACATCTGTTATATCACTTGCTTCTGTAACTTCATGGTGTGACTTATCATCATTCCTGTATAGTTGGCAAAATTTTGGATATCATCCTTTAAGCAGAGGCCCCAAGAGGGTCTAGGTTAGCAGGAATAAGAGGGTTGGTGGGGGATTAGGACCTAACTCTGTTAACAACAGAATATTAACTTGTATTGAGTTCTCATTTTCTCAACATTATGTTGTTCCAGATGCCTCAAAAAATGGTGTTGCACAAGAGACAATACAAAATACTATTCGCAGAGCTGGCAAAGTGATGACAGAGCAAGAGGCTCGGCAAATCCTTGGTGTTACTGAGGAAACTCCCTGGGAAGAGATTGCGAAGGTTAGTTACATTATCTATTTTGTGGTGTTATGACCCATTTGTTGTTTCAATAATTTGCCTAGACACATTTCTTCCTTGCAGAAATATGACACACTGTTTGAGAATAATGCAAAGAATGGGAGTTTTTACCTCCAGTCCAAAGTTCATCGTGCCAAGGAATGTCTAGAGTCTATCCAACAAAGCAAGAGTCAGGGTACTGCTAGTTGAGAACTTTGGACACCAAGTTGTATACCATTTGTGCGATCGAAAGTGTATGAAACTAAAATTTCTGTTACTTAAAAAAGAGTGTAAATGATTAGTTGGGGATTGACTGCTAATAATGAAGGCTATTTATAGAACTGAAGCTGTGTTATTACATTATTAAAGAGAATAGTGATCAATAATATTGATGGTTAAAAACAGCTTCATGTTTTCACTTTTAAAGTGTAATCAAAATTTTGGAAGCTATCTGCTTGACCTTCATGTTCATCGTTACTAATATTCATATTAAAACGTGTTCATCTTCGTTGTCTTTTGCAAATTCTATTGCACAAAGGTGTACATGCTATTATTGTTCCCAATTTAGGGCGGTGGAAAATAATCGAACTGAAGTGATTCGAATTACATTTTCTTTCTGAATCAGTTTTGAGAATCAAATTGATTTTATAAAGGGTTTAATATGTATTATCTTATAAGAGATAAAATTATTTTTTATATACATAAATATGTGGGGTTTTTTTTTCTCTTTTCTCTTTATATAGTTTCATATAGACTTTGTATATTTTTATGTATGTGTAAGAAATAAATTTTATCTCTTATCACATTAGAAACATCAAATCTTTTTATAATTCAATTTAAAAAATTAAATCAAACCAAAAGAGCCGGTTTGAAAAATCCAAATTGATTTGGAATTGGTTATAAATTATAAGTTGCTTTAGAAATATGAACCAGTTCTGAGCTAGTTCTCAACATATTGGATAATGAAACAGTTTGGTTCTTTGAACAGAACCGATTTAAACTAGTCTGGTTCGGTTAAGGTAAAAAAAATCAGTTAGGGTCGAATCAGGTCCACCTTTACTTTTCGTCTTCTTAGCCGTCTTTTGCTAATCCTCTTGTTGTCGATGGTGTTCCAAATCCCTTCTGTTGTCTTTCAAAAAGAAATGTTTTTGAATAAATTAGAAGCATCGGTAAAAATACAATAAAAAAATAAGCACATAACTAGCATTTATAAAAAATAAAAAAATGAGAATTTGGGTAAATTAGTCGAAGGGTTTAAATATACATATATATAAGCTTCGAATTTGTATTTTACCATGCCTTCTGGTTTGTGAAGATTGATTTAATCTAATATTTTTGTACGCAGAGTCAAGGTGATATGTATTATCTCAAAAACCACTATTGCCTGATGGGAATAAGACAAACAAATTCTATATCATTTTCAAATTGTAATACTATTGAATAATAATATTTTAACCAATGTCACATCAATTGATGGTGAAGCATATCATGTTCATGCTTATCCTTATACTGCTCCTATCGTTAATCAAACACGTTTTTTTTTATTTCATTTGGAGCTAATTGTCAAAGAGTTATCGACTTACACAAGGTTTATGGTGCCCAAATATTAATGTGACAATCAAAAGTGAAACTTTCCTTGCACATTTCACACATGTATTATATTTGTAGTACATATAAAGTAGCAAATTTTGGGTTTTGCATAATGTATCCCAATAAACATTAAAAAAAAAAAATTGAAATTGGTTACCATTTTATAAATGCGAATAGCGTAAATTACTTATGTAATTGCGAATAATCATACTGCAAACCCGTTTACAAAATTACGAATTGATTTTAGAAGTTAGTAATCCTACAATATTTCGAAATTTCAAATATTTGAACACAGATGCACAAATAGGAATAAATCTTGGGTTATCTTATAGTATAAACTCTTTTAATAAAAATAGAAATAAGTAAAATTAATGCGGTGTTAATCATAAAGTAGTTGGTAGAATAAATGTTATTAGGGAATTATTCTTTTTTAACTTTAATAAGGGATGATAATGAAAATAATTTGTTCCGTAATCCTATACAACTAAAAATTCAATATATGCTCACCAAAAAAATAAAAATAAATTCAATATATCACCTATTAAAGTTTAAAAAAATAAACAAACTATCCACCTGATTATATTTATTTTACTCACTCTAAAAAGACTAATTTCACTTTTTTTAACTTTTAATAAAAGAAATATGTATTATTGGAATTGGAAGATTCACACAATAAATTGGGGCACTCAAATTTTGGCCGCTTCTCCGAATAGATTGTGCCTAAATAGGTTAGGCCACTCTGTTTGAGTGTCATATTAAATATTGCTGTAAGTTTTTGTTGAGATCTAGAATATATTTTGATCTTTAGAATATGACATCTCATTCTCAGAATTTTTATTCATAAAATAGTTGGTGTTATGTAATAATCAAAATTTACATTTGAAAAATATTTATATGTCATTAATTTTTTATGATTAATTTAATAAAAAGTAAAAAATTAAGGATCGTAGGCTAAATAAGAGGGCTGAACAAGATATGATAAGAGGGCTGAATAAGATTAGGATCGTAGGCTAAACAAACTCATATCATATTATGTGATTTTTGCACTAGATAAGTCATCTGATAAAATAATATTATCATATCCGATATTTGAGACGAATCATACGATATTATGATATAAAATAAATGGATAAAAAATTATTTTTAATAAAATTTTATATGATTTTTTAAAATTTATCTTTAAACTATTTTTTTAACTTATTTGCGCTTTAGTTCTTATTTAAATTTATAAAAAAAATTAAAAAGTCATAATTTTAAATAATATATTAAAATACATAAATTATTTATAAACATTTTCAAATAAAAATAATCATATTCTCACCACATAAATTTTTATAAATTAAATTTTAAATTAATTTTCAATATTGGTAGCTGGCGCAATTGTGGCAAGTAAGGAGTGGTTAGTTGAAGTATAATGGTGATGACGTCAATAATACGGTCACAATTATGGTGGCTAACTGATGATGGCGGCAGTTAGTGAGACAGTTGTTGGTAGCAAGGCCAACAGTCACCGATGACAATTGTTGGGGTTGAACAATGGTAGGGGGTGGCAATGGTAGGGGGTGGCAAGTTGTGGATGGTACTTGGGGGGTTGTAGTCGATGATAACAGTGATGATTGATAGCTTATGGTGATTGTGGTGACCTCCAATATCCGGACACGCAAATTTTTAGAAAAAGGGTGTGTCGGACACATGTTCGACACTAGGGGTGGCAAAAATGAGCCAACCCGTCGGGTTGGCTCGTAACCCGCACAAAACGAGCCGGGTTGGGTTGGTAAAAATGAGCTGCCAGCTCGCTTTAGCCCGACCCGAGCCAACCCGGGCTCTAACGAGCCAGCTCGCGGGTTACTTTTTTTTTTTTTTTTAATAAAATACAATGGACTTTACTGATGGATTTTCCACTGATGGACTTTACTATATTGGTCGCTTTTGCATGTTCTTTTTTTTTCATGATTGGTTTTTGATTCTAGATGCTTATCGTTGAAATATATAATGGATTTCTTTTATTTTTTATTTTTTGGCTTTATATACGTTTTATGGTTATCGTGAGTTAGAGTAATTCAGAAAATCATGATAACTGACTCCTGTGATTCGTGGAGTGGTTTGTGTTTCATTTAATATTTTTGGATTTTGTAAACTACTCTACTTGTAGTTGGACTGCAAAATACAGTAATTTTATACAGGAGAACAAACCACAAAAATTAAATTTTTTGAGCCAACCCGCGAGACAACCCGTGAGCCAATATTTTGAGCTAACCAACCCGCGAGCATCATTTTGAGCTAACTCGCGAGCTTTTTTTGAGCCAACCCGTAAGCTTTTTTACGAGCCAACCCACGAGCTGATTATCGAGCCAACCTGCGAGCCAACCCTAACCCGACTCGGGTCGAGCCGGGTTGGGTTTTCTGGCTCGTTTTTTTTTCGAGCCAACCCGACCGACCCATTTTTTTCGGGCTAAATGCGGGTTGGGCCGGGTCGAGCCGGGTTGGCCCGTTTTGCCAACCCTATTCGACACAGACACGCTCCGACACGTTCCGACACGCGGTCAAAATTTTAGGATACGTGGTCAACTCTCCGACATATTCTTTCGACACGCAATCAACTTTTTCGGACACGTGGTCAACGCTCGGACACATTTTTTTTTTAGTCTTAATTTTATTTTATTAAATAAATAAAAAAATCATTTATAAATCAATTTTTTTCTGTTATGAAATTTGAGATGAAAAATTAACAAGGTACAAAAAATTATTTTTGTTTATATTTATGTTATGAAATTTGAATATTTGATTGGTTATATGACTTATTTATTATGGACTGTTATATCTATTAAATACAAATTATATTATATATATTAAAAATATTATTTAATATCAAAACGTGTCCTAACGTGTCGAAATATGCCATTTTTTAGAATTAACGTGTCGGCATGTCGTGTCGTGTTCCGTGTCAGTGTCCGTGCATCATAGGTGGTGACTAACTAGTAGATGAGGTGGCGATCTCCAGAGCATCGACTCGTTATTTTTTTCAAATTGTGCGTGTCGGCGACACGCGGTCAACATTTTGGGACACACGATCAACGCTCTGACACGTTTTTTGACACACAGTCAACTTTTTTCGACACGCGGTCAATGCTTCGTCACGCATCCGACATGTTTTTTTTTTACTTCTTAATTTTTTGTGTGTGGAGGTTACAAGGAATTGAACACAACACCCTACACTACACACACTCCTAACACACACACCCCACACCACTAGGCTAACCCTAGTGGATATTTTATTTTATTTTATTAACTAAAAATAAAAATAATAATTTATAAATCAATTTTTTTCTATTATGAAATTTACATGAAAAATTAACAATATATAAAAAAATTATTTTTGTTTATACTTATGTTATGAAATTTGAATATTTGATTGGTCATATAACTTATTATAGGTTGTTATATGTATTAAATATAAATTATATTATATATATTAAAAATATTATTTAATATCAAAACGTGTCTCAACGTGTCAAAATATGACATTTTTTAGAATTAACATGTCGGCGTGTCGTGTCCCGTGTTCCGTGTCGATGTCGGTGCATCATAGGTGGCTAATGGCCTAAACAATATTGGTGGCAATAATTCACCCTCATATACCTAACAAAATTCATAAGAAAATAACATAAAAACTATATTTAGAATGAGAAAGATGAGGAGGGATATTTTCACTACCAAAATTTTTCACTACCAACTTACTACCTATCTAATCACCATTAGATTAACATTTTCTTTCTCTTCAATTATTTTTAACATTCTCTCTCTTTGATTCAATGGTAATGT